ATATATATAAAATATAAAAACATGCAAATTGTTTTACTAGCTGTGATCCAACTTGTGTGAAAAGGAGTGGTTTTTTTTGGGTTTTTTCTGTCAGCAGATGGCCTCATGATCTGTGTGCATAAACAGTTGATCATCTGAGACTTCAGACTAACTGATATGATGACCGCGTAACCTTAGCCGGCCCTTTTTGGGGTGGGAACTTGACAATAGTACAGACATTACACAAGGAGTGGCATTATTTTTAGCTTCCTCTTTTTAGGGTGTATGACAGTTTTGATAGCAAACCTATTTCAGTGTCTGGTAGAGGAATAGATTAAGATCATATTTTATAGCATCCTCATAAAAAAAGACAAAAATTCCCCAACATAGTGTGACCTCTTCTTTAACTCGTTGATTTACAGTCTTGCTCTGGGGCTTCTCACTTTGACATCGTGCTAACAAGCTGCTTGCTACGTGTTCGATTTGCAACTGATGCAGCTGCTATGATGGGCAGATATGGCCATGATACATGTAAGGAGCATCCTAACCTAATCACAAAGTGCAACCTGATACATTCACTTGCAGGACACTTTATTAGGTATACCAAAGTAGTACAGGGTTGGAGTTCCTTTTGCTGGAAGCGTTCCTCAGAAAGTTTGATCCATACTGACATGATAGCGTCAGACACAGTTACTGCAGATTTGTCGGCTGCACATCAATAATGCGAATCTCCTGTGCCAGTGTGAATTGCAGTGGGTAACAAATACACTAACATGCTTCAGAGTACACAGGCTCATGTTTGGTCCTGAATCAACACCCAACAAACCTCACCCAAGTGATATGACACACTCTAGTGGGTTTTTATTTTCTCACATTTTTGTATTCAGATATATTACAGAACAACTCACTGAACCCTTGATTGAGCCTAGCCTAATATACTTGTAAGTGACTTGTGGCAGCTTGAAGTAATGACAGAAAAGGGGACAGAAGAGGAGGGAAAGCTGATAGTGGAAACACAAATGCTAATACAAAACTAGGAAATGCACAACTGATACGAGACGTAAAGGAAAAATGTTTAAAGAGAAACTGATACAGGGCTAGTCATTTTTTAGAGGAATGACTTAAATAGTTCAGTTCTTTTTGCAATATGAACTCACTTCCAAGTAGTGTACAGGAGGAGTATGGTGGTTTTAGACATCATGGTGCTTCCTGTGTGTTCACGGTAGTATGTTGGGGGGGGGAAAGAAGTCAGAGAGCTGTCGTCTGGTGAGGTTTGTGGATTTAAAAAGAGGTGAACTTTCCAGACTTCTGTAGCCTACGATATAAAAGTTATTTTAGTGAACTAAAATACAAGGCTCAACCCAGCCTTGTAAAAAAATAAAGAAAATTCAAACTAAACTAAAATATAGACTATTGTTTTTATGTTAGTCTTTAAAATTTGTAAACACAATAAGCACGAGAATGTATTGAGGAAGCAAATGTTTAGTGAGACTGAGAAAGTCTGGGTTTAGGATAGAGATGCCTGCTCTAGTTTTAAGCTTCAAACTAAAAGTTAGGGCTGGATCAACTGACCCTGAACCACCCTGTAGCTTCAGTGCTACAAGCTCCGGCTGCTCGGGGGACTTCCCATGATGCACTGAGCCTTTTTCCTCCAAAGATCTCTTTTCTCACTCTCACCAGTATTTTGTGTTTCATTGTCAGTTTCTCTGTGCTTCTCTTTCCGCTCATCTTTTCCCTCACTTCCCAGTCGGTTGTAGCGCATTGGCTTCTAGTGGCAATCTCGTCCCCACCATCACCAAGTTTTTGCTGATGTACTCTAAGCCATGTCTGATTGACTGGTTTATTGTCACTGTCTAATATTTTGGGGTCTAGATCAGGGATGTCAGACTCATTTTGCAGTGCAATTGCAACACTATGGATATATACTCAACAGTAAACAGAAAAAACGATCTGTCAGCACGACTCTTCGAGAAATATCTGTGTAAAATAAAGAAATAGTTCTGGTAGCTTGTTGCCCAGTCTAATAGACCCTGTGCACGAGAAAATGCTAACTTCCTGGTTTGAGACCGGATGTGGGGTTGTACATTTCCGGTAGCTTTACTTTGCGGTCAATTGCTACTGCGAACATATACTCCAAAATCATGTCCAAAACTCGAAAACGGAAAGATCGCGTTAAGTTACAAAGAGCAGAAGGTGGGAACACTCACCGCTGTTGTGTCATAAACAATCTAATGATCAATTTTGACGTCTAAAGAGTTTAGATCGATCAGTTGTTTACATCACTCAACACAAGCAGAACTGCATCACTGCAGCAGAAGACACATCGTCCACATTCAGAAGCACATCTCTGTATACTGACTGGTCTTATGATTTAAACAGGCAAATGTTCAGCATTCAAACTACAGGTGAAGAATAGTCAAACCAGATGTTTCCCCCATTATGTCGATATCAGCTAGTCAAGTACACACCTACACAGCATGTTAACAAACCGTGAAAAAAGCCACACAAAAAATGAATGATTGCTGGTAAGGGTTTCTATACATTAGTATGTACGAAGGGTATGTTGTGACTTACCTTCAAAATTACAGCGGTCCCTCGCTATAACGCGGTTCACCTTTCACCTCGCTGTTTCGCAGATTTTTTAGTGCAAGTTTGCATGCTTTTTTTTTTTTTTACGTCACATTGTGTCCTGCGTCCTGATCGCTGCAGACGATCTCCTCCGTGACGTCTCTCCTGTACAGTACAGAATCGCTGCATCAATCGCTAGCAGTGTGACTCTGAAGTGCAGTACTGTATGTCCACGATGTCCACCAAATGTTTTGCTTTGTCAAAAAATAAAATTGGCTACTTGATTTCACCCATCGCTGGTTATTTTTAGAACATAACACCCGCGATAAACGAGGGACAGCTGAGAAATATAACATTTGAATCTCTTTTCTCTTTTGTTCTGAGGCGCGGGGAAAAAATATCGACAAGTCGATGAACATCATTTACAGACATATTGGGTAAATGCCCAAGACATCTATAAAAATGTAAATCGCCGCTTGATTCATTCATTTGCTTAACTTGTTTTGGACCGTAAACAGGGCGCGAATAGAACACCGGAAACAAAGCTCCCCACAGGAGTTTCCGCATCGGAAGTAGCATATGCTAACGTGCACATAGTCAATTCACAGAGAATAACCTTTTTGTTGTTGTTGACCCGTATTTTTAAAGATCAAAATTTATGCCCTCTTTCACTTTTTAAAAAAACGTCTATTAGACTGGATTCCAGTCTCTGTCGGCCCAATATTAGTCCCCTGGGCCTTATGTTTGCCACAGCTATTCTACATCATTAAAACTGAGTTGAAAGACATTATCAGTGACAAATTTATGCACTGCAACACTCATAGAACACTCGTTCTTCAAGCTTTCTGCCTAAGCTTATCTGTTTTATTTAGGCCTTCTTAGTCTTTTATAAAGTGCCCACAGGTCGGTTTTAAGAGTCAAAAGGAAGTTAGGGTCTCTTAGAATTACTACACACTAGAAAGTATCACCTGTAACCTCACAGAGGAACGGCTCTGTTTCAGTGTGTGTTTTCAGATGCATTCGTGTGTCTGCGTCCATGTGCTTGACCTCTGAATTGTTCCAGTCCTGTGCGACGGAAAGTCCCCAGGCTTCTTTCACAGGAGCTGGGTGTCCAAGTGTGTGAGCTATGTGTTTGCAGAAGTGTGGGCTACAAGCGGCAGCCTATCGCATGCTGTCTTTGAGGAAGCAGGAAGGAACATGCTGAAAGCAGTCAGCCAATGAGGTGCCAGAGCTGAAGGAGGAGCCCCCCTCAGGAAACGCTTGGTGGAGTATCAGGGGTTCAGATCATCAACAGACTTCCTAATCGACACAGCTGATTGTTCTCTCTGCTCATCTATCCATTTCTTTCATTATTTTTTGTTTTTTCTTTCTTCGTTAACACCTTTCTCCAGTTCCATTCATCTGCATTCTGTTTTCATGCTTCCACCCATAACAACTCTTATGATTTTGAATCTGACTCGATTCTTTCTACTTTGAGTCCATTCAACCGTATATCCGTCTCTCCACGTGGGTTGAAAATTATGGTGGTATATTATCCTGTACTGCCGCTGTCATGTCCGCCGACATGTCTGCTCCTTCGGTAAAGAAGAAGAAGTCGTTTGCACGGAGCTCCAAACCAAGCACCAGGATGTGTGTTCGGGAACAAAGGGACATCATGTAAGTTCAGACATTATCCTCACTGCTGGGTCTGACACAGCTTTTCTGGTATCTTTATTTTTTCACTGAACACGTCCTCACCAGCCTGAGTTTGGTGATCAGCTCTGAGACTCGTTTGAGGTAGTGACTATCTCATTAGTTGGTTTTTGTGTTTATCAAGTGGCAGATATCTGGTATTTAGTGGTTCTTTTGAATGATCTTGAGTATCATCGGTGGTCTCAGGTGTGCAAAACCACGCAAGTAAGAGTGAGGTTTGTACCATCTTTACTGGCTGCTGTTTGATCTGGTTGTCACAATAATCTAACTAATGGAATTTGAACTTGCGTTCTCTGCTGCCTGAAATGTGTAAACAGCAAATTTAAGATTTCCTAAGTGAAGTGCAACATTTCAGACTAAAGTACTGAGAAAAGTTAGAAGTCGGAAAGTCAAAAGCGAACATCTACATTTTTCACACTGCATTTGAAACAGATGAATTTTACAACTTTTCAATAAAACGGACATTAACTTGGCTTATTTCGAGCGATATTTATGAGGGAGTGAAAGTAGTACATATTGCACTTTTAGCACTCCTTGTCCCCGTGCAGTCAAAAAAAAAAACAGCATGGCAAGAGTATCAAGTAAATACTGGACAAACAAGATGTTTTAATTAATAAATAAAACAATCAGGAATAAAAAAAAATTAGCACTGATGTAATATTTTTTCCAGTAAAGCAAAAAGAAAAGATGTGAGAGAGTGTATGTTTGCACTCAGGAGCAGTGAGACTAGATATGATGTAACCAAGTTACAAAATACCATGACAGTACACGGCACATTAGGTCATGTCTTATTTTAGAACGCGCTGAGCTTTAGTAGGTATATTTCACAAGGTGAATGACAGACTTTACCCACTGAAGCTGTGGATATGTGTCCAGGATGTAAACAGCAAGAAAAAAAAAACACTTCCAAGTTCCAAAAAACTGAGTCACATTTTTGACAGATAGATGCTAATTCAAGATGAAAGGTCCACAGTGAGTGGCATTATTTGAAGAGTGATATATTAATGTATGAAAGCATTTTACCTGCTTCTCTGTTAGTAAGTTTTGTAAGGAGATTGGGGAGAGCAAGTTCTTCATTTTCATAATTTCACTTCTTGGAGACCTGAGCAGTTATTTTTGCATCTGAGATGTCTAGAGGTTGAACATTGCAAAACAAGCAAAAAATGCAGTCATCTGTTTTTGGTGTTTTAAAATTCACAAAACCTCAAAAACACATGTTTTTTTGGGGGTGGGGGGGGGTTAAAGCTGTTGTATCTTATAAGCTTATCCAGCTCGCTCTTGTCTCTGAGGTAATCAGGCAAGGCTTATTTATGCATAATCTGTCTTTTGATGCACCTGGTTATGGCAATAGTGAGACAGGTGTGTCACTCTCAACTTAGCATTTTTAACATGCAACCTGGGTGCATTTTTCTCAAAAGGGAGGTTTCTCCTGAGGCTAGCTGAGTAGTTTTTTTTTTGTGAAAGTAACCATCCTGACTAAAACTACAACCTCAGGACACGGACATCTGCGCCCACCATATCTCCAGCCTTCTAACACGAGCTTCGCAGGAAATGAAACTGTTCTCGCTCTGCGGCCGCCATAGCTGTGGCTCCAACGCCAAAGGAAACTTTATTCATAACAGGGGGGACATAGGAACATTTGACAAACCAACATTATCGTAAAACTATAAGAAACAAAAAGCAGTTCAGTACCCCACAGCTGAAGTTACCTACAATGTACACAAGTACACAACGTTTCCAAAACACATGTTCTCATTCAGGACAGACAGAAAGCATCTGTGAGACCAACAGAAATGATTTTGAAGGGAACGTGTTTTAATTTAAGGTTACCAGCAGAGCTTGATTTGGTTTCCAAACACAGGTGGTGGTGCAAAAAAACAAAAAAATAATCTGTGCTATAATAAGTATAACTTGCTTCAGTGCTCTATCAGGATTAGGAATTCAAGATTTGCGACTCTTTGTTGACATTATGCAAGCATAATGACATTAAGACAAAACTTCCTCTTAAATAACTTAACTTAAATAACCAATAAATATCCTAACATGATTAGAAATCCAAGATGCAATATATATTATTAATGTATTACATGTATGAGAGGCACTCATTCAAAAGGAGAGATCGATATTAAACCTTTTGTTCGCAAAGGTTAAAACTTCACCAAAATTCCAGTATAAGATGATTAAGAATTATTATGAACTGTGAATTATCCCATATGGAAAAGAAATAGTAAAAACATATATGATTAACTCATGAAAGTGGCCACTTTCATGAGTAAATCATATATAAATCATATAAGGCTTACATGATTTACTCATGAAAGTGGCCACTTTCTCATTACTTTCATATTTTTTTTTAGTAAGTATACAAAACATACAAGTTTCATTATATAATTTTTCAAGGGATCTTATATCTGTTTTCACTCTTGTATGCTTTTCATACAAGTTTCACACAAGACAGATAAAAACTTTATAAGATTTATATATATCTTTTCCATATAGGATGCAAAGATACTTTAATAGAGTCCAAGAGTATGAAAACAGAGCTAGAAATGGTGGTATCGTTATCATAAAATTTAGTATATAACAAAAATACAACATAGACAGTTGGGAATACTTTGTCGAGAGAGGACTGATTTACATAACATTATGCAGGAGCAACCAGTAACAGGGCTGAGCTACTGTAAAAGTTCTCAGTCATAACAAACACAAGTCATCAGTTATAAATCACACCAAGTGTGTTTGTGAGACAGTAAACTGTAAGAGAATGCATAAGAGATGAAGAGAAACGGGAGGGTGCAGACACAGAGGTGAGGCTGAAAGCACGTAGGTGTGAGGCTTTAAAATGAAACTTTCATGCCAACTTTCTTCAAAAACCAAAGTCAAAGCAGGAATGTTGTTGTTGCATGCTGAGGGGACAGAGGAAGAACGAAGCATGCAAAGTGTAATGTAAGTACTTGTATTTCCTGAGTATTTGCATCCAAAAAATTTGCCTGAATTCGTTACAAAAACTGGGCTAGCTGTAATCTATTGCTTTCACCTCTAAAAACAGGCGATCGATACTTTGCCAATGGCCCATGTTTGCTTTTAAAAAAGAATTTTATACGGTAAATTAAACCAAGTCTGTTAGCTTTGGTGATTTGATTCCTCAGAGAAAAATCCACTTTATTTGTCAGTGGAGATAAGCTTCCATGACGGTCATCAGCTGGGACCTCGGTATTTCCTCAGCAAGGTTTGCGTTAGAAAGAGAGAGAACGAGGAGACATTTACGGGAAATGAGTTCTCATTTTTCGACCCCTGCGTTGTGGGGGGAGGGTGGGCATGCAGTCAGACGGCAGAATCTCAATCCTATCTCTCTTCCTTCCTTTCATCCGGTGTACCTTTCTCTTCACCGCTTTTTCTCTTTCTTGCTAAATTACAGTTTGTAATTTGTTGCAAACGGCTACTGTAGGATTTTTACACTTTGAATCTTTCCAACTGAAGACTTAGACTGTGTGTTTGTGTGCATCAGTCTGAGAGGAATCCTTCCTGCAGCCGTTACAGAAGTGTGACGATGGTGTAGTTCCTGTTGAGTGGCACTGCCATATTTGGACACAGGAAGGAGTGATGCAGGTAGAGAAAGAGGACCTGCTTTTTACTATTTCAGCTTTCTATGAGCCCATCGCTGCAGGTGTGTGTGTGGAGAGCAAAAGACTTGTTTCTGTTTCTCTTCTGCTTTTCCAATTTTCCGTGTTAATAAAAAACCAAACAGTCCTACACACCGGTGGTCACTTGTTCTCTGAATTCATTTTACATAAAAAACCGAGGAGATGATACTGGAAAGGCCAGACATTTCCACAAGCTACAGTGCCAAAATTATACACAAAGTATTGCTTTTTGAAAGCTAAAGCTGTTCTAATTCTCAAACATATAAATCCAACTAGTTTTAATGTTTAAACTGCAGGTACAGGTCTCACACTATAGAGCACTGTAGAGCTTTTTATAGAAACTTCTTGACAGTGGTTGTGCAGCAACTCCATCGAATGCTCTTGCTGTTGGTGTCCGATTGAAAGCAGTTGTGCCAACCACTTTTGATCACAAGGTGATTGCACAGATCATCAACCGGCAACCTGTCTCCAAATGATCGTTTTTTCACTGACTGCACTGAAAACACTCATCTGCCAAGCGTCTCTTTGCAGTAGAGTAGGACTAGACTCTATTGGCTGCCAGCTGGTTGTATTCTGGTTCTGGTCTTGCAGTTAAATTGCCATTCTGCAGCAACAAGGTCACTATTTTTGGAGGAATTTCTGAATATCTGTTTAAAATCCTGGACTCTGAATGTAGTTAGTTAATTTGAATTTCTGTGTATGGAGATATGCAACAAATATGCGCTTTTCTCCAATTCATGACTATTAATTGCTATTTTGTCACAAGCAGACTGTATGTAGTTGCTAACTTGATCCCATTCACTTCTAAACTGATAGCTGACTCAGTCTTATTGCTGTTTTACTACCATGTTGAGACAACAAAGTCATTTTGTGTGGGGCTGGTTGAAGACCCAGCCCATCTCTTTAAATCAACCATTTCAAAATATCATTGCACACTTTTGCAATAATTTTGACTGTACCCAATCTACAGCAGCTCTTTCCCCTGTTAACACTAGTAGACATATCAGCTGAACAGCTAAAGATCTTAATGACTGGTTCTTTAATCCATTTTTAACTTCTTTCAACTGTACATACATTGGCTAACTTAATGATTGTAGATTTTTTCTTAAAATAATAGCTTTAAAAAAAAAGAAAAAAGAAAAAGGCACCTAGAATCGGTGGTTGCTCAGCATCTGGGCCATAAACCTGATGAAAGATCACACATGTCAAAAAGAAAAAACCCATCTTTTATTGAAGTTACAGATATATCCAGATTAAGGCTGGTTAGGGCTATTTCCTGGAAGTAACACATGATGGTGTTTATCAAACGTATTCTCAACT